GTGCGGGGAGGCCGTTCATAAACGGCCACCCGACCCTGTACTGCCACCGTCTGGCCGTTTATATGCAACGGCCGGTCGGAAGTGGTTAATCAGTTTTTTTTTTTGGCAGGGGCGTTTTTTGGCTGGGAAAAAAAAAACAGAACTAGTGGGTTTCAAGAAAAGTTTTTTTAGCTGTAAAACACTCTAATGTGGTAAAATGCAGCAAACCAGCGTTTTTTGATCCAAATTTGTTTTGTGTGTGTGTAAAAAAAAAAAAAAATGCTAATGCGATAAAACATGGCTAAACACTAATGCAAAACACTTTAAAAAAGGTGAAAAACTTGCTCTTTTATTGCGACTTTATACAGCTAACACTACCGTGTGTTTTTAAAATTCCCAGTGTGCATGAGATCTAAATGTTGTCTAGATGCCCATAACCCCAACTCCTGCCAATGATCCCTTCCCCCTTCTCTCCTCTCCCCCTACTCTTCAGGTTATATTTTCCTGGATACATTACTGTTTGGGAAAAATTGAAAGTATGAACCTGCACACTTCTATATGCATTTGTGTCTGAAATATTGTTTATGGCAGTTATAACAAACTCTTCATCATTACTAAACTTAAACAAGAAGTAAAAATAAAATCCACCACCAGTCCAAGGGGAAAAGGGGATTGTAATGTCTTCCCTAGTACAGAACCAGATAGAAATCTGAAAGATAATTTTCTAAACTCCTTGCAACATCATAAGTAACCCTGGGGTTTGTTTTCGAGATGGATTTATACTTTTTATGTGACATTAAATATGAAACATATAATGATTTTCCCAGGGCTGCTGTTAGAAACCAAGGGGCCCAATACAGCCAGCCTGACAGGACCCCCAAAGAAAAAAAGTTTACCATGCTTCAGTTATGAGTGAACACAGTGAGTGATGGGTACCGAATACTGTGTGTTCATTCAGGGGAAAAAGGGGGCTGGTAAATGTGAGGAGGGAAGCCGGCAGCACTGCGGGGGTGGGGGCATACAGGGGGGCCTGGACAGCAGGGGGAAATGTATGGTGCACAGGGAGGGTGATGGGTGTGACAGGGGGTCAATTAGTGGAAACGATCCCCTGCATGGCTCTCTCTGCAGCAGCTGAAAGCCAGCGGGTGGGAGAGGAGAAGCAGCCAGATTTCTTTTGCTGCAGAGAAAGCCATACAGGGGATCGGTTCCAGTAATTGCCCCCCCTCCCCACCATGCCGATCACCCTCCCTACCTACATCCCATTCACCCAGCTGCCTGGGCCCCCCTGCTGGTTGGGGCCCCATACAGGAAGACTGGTGGTACCCCCTTATCCACGGTCCTGATCTTTCCTATTGAAGCTAAGGTTTGGTTTCCTCTTTCTCCAGAACAAGTCTACTGTGCAGAACAGAAAACCTCCCTGTTCAGGATTGGACAGCAGTGATCCAGAAGAGGAGAGTCAGGACAATCTGAAAGACCTTCTGAATCAGCATGGTTCACCTTGGGAGCTGGATGACAGATGCAGTGCGGAGGCTCAGCATATTAGGGAGCTGGCAGTCACACGTCCTGAAGTTATTACTGAACAATTCATTTATTCTTACTTCAGATCTCTAAGAGTGGTAGACCAGGAGGTGAGTAGATGTGAGCCAGGAATGTTCACTGTAGAAACCAAATTGCTGTTTCAAGAACATTGGAATAAATAATCTGTAAATGGACTCTAATGTAAAAAATTGTTTAGAACCTTGACATCTAATATAATATCAGTACTTTGGTTTCTTGGCTTGTGAAGAGCTGGAAGATATAGCAGCTATCTAAAGATAATGTCTAAATGTCTGGTGGAGTTTTAACCACTGCGACCATAAAAGAGATGATCAGTCTTGCAGGATATAAATAAGCAAAATGGGATTTCTACTTTTACACAAATTGGAAGACCTCTTCACATGCCACTTTCCTTCCCCAATTTTCCTATTGATGTGGGTCTTCTAGTTCAGAACTCATGCCAATCGATTGCTTTAATAGCACTGCCAATACATTCTGAGGCTACAGACCCTTAGAGAGCTCCTCCTTTCCTTGCATGGAACAGCCTGGTCTCAGAAGGCCTTTGTTTTCTGATGAACTTGGAAGCCCACTGAAAATGAAGGGCTGAGCAGCACTGTAATGATAAAAACAGAGAGGCTGTACCTGATGTTAGCTTTGGAACTGGTGAGCTCATAGCTCAGTTGGCTTAGACCAGGGGTCTCCAAACTTTGGCCCTCCAGCTGTTGAAGTACTACAAGTCCCATCATGCCTCTGGGAGTCTTGCCTGTGGCTGTCAGAGTCTTGCAAGGCTTCATGGGACTTGCAGTTCCTCAACACCTGGAGGGCCATAGTTTGGAGACCTTTGGCTTAGACTATCTAAACAACATTCTAACAACAAGGCACGATATGATGATGCCATCTCTGGGAGTTTTTCAGTCAGGCTTCAGGAGGTAGGTAAATGGCCTACATCTATTGTAATGAAGTATTAAAGTTTGGTCAGTGCTGCACAGTTTGTTTTCATCTACAGGTGATCCATAGCAGCAGAGAGGCAGTCATTTGTTAACCTCTTCCCGTCTGGCCCATGTTGATAAACAGCCAGGTGAGCGCTGCCGATGCAGGTGGGCATTTCTAAACGACCCCCCTGCATCCATTGCTCTGGGAGCGCGCAGTACCGCGATCGGTGGACACAGCGGAACACAGATCGCTGTATGGGACCTCTGTGTGAGGTCCCAATTTATGTGATCACTGATTGGCCAATCAGTGATTACATGAATACTAGTAAACAAGATGTCACTTCCTGACATCATTGCTTACTACTTGTGAAATCTGTGAATGATCACAGAGGTCGCATGATAGAAGGCTATTCACAACACCCTTGTACCATGTGACAAGCTGTGACCAATCACAGCTCGTACAATATAATTTAATGACTGCAGGAATGCAGCCAGAGAGAAGGATAAATTATTGTTTTTTTACAGCCTTTATGGGTGTAAAAAGCAATTAGTGTAAAAAAAGAAAAAAAAATCTTCATCACCCCCCACAAGTAGTACAGTGTCACTATGGTGTATGTTAAAAAAGCAAAAAACAAACATAAATAATAAAATAAAAATGTAAAAACAATTTTTTAAAAATTATCATTTTTGGTTATAAACTAATTTGGGTTATTTTCTTTTTCCTAAAAAATAGATGAATACATTTAGGCCACGATTTATGAAGAAAGATTATTTATTTGCAAAATTGTATAAGAAAAACACTTTTTTTTTTCAAAATTTTTGGACTTTTTCATTTATATAGCAAAAAAAAAAAATCCCAGTGGTGAATAAATACCACCAAAATAAAGTTTTATCTGTCTCAAAAAAATGCTAAAAAATTCATATGGGAACAGTGTTGCATGACTGCGCAATTGTCATTCAAAGTGTGATAGCACTGAAAGCTGAAAATTGGCCTGGACTGGAAGGGGTTCAAGGTGAATTCACCTTTTAAATAATGCTTCTGATTTAGATGGGTAGTCCATATGGCTTCTTTTTAGTTTAGAATAAAATCTGTATTTACCAACCAATTTCATTTCACCAGTATGTTTTTATTTATTTTGCTTTACAAAAGTTTTATCGGGATTTTAAGTTTTGCGTTAAAGATATAGAAAACATCATGTACAAAAGGATACTACATGGGGGAGAAAGTAACCAAGACAGATACATAGTAACATTTTTGCCTAGATCTGTAGTCTCCAAACTGCAGCCTAGGGACCAAATGTGGCTCTTTGCTTGCCTTTATCCGGCCCTTGGCGCATTTTTCCTCCCTCTGATACAAGTCACTTTTCCTCTCACGACACCAACAATGGGGCAAAATTCCTGCTACTGACATCAGCAATGGGGCACTATTTCTCCCATTGACACCAATGACGGGGCACTATTCCTCAAACTGACACTTACAATGGGGCACTATTGCTTAAATTGACAACAATGGGGCATTCTTTCTTCCACTGACACCAACAATGGGGCTTTATTTGTCTCACTGAAGCCATCAATTGGACATTATTTCTTCCACTGACACCAACAATGGGGCACTATTGCTTAAATTGACAACAATGGGGCATTCTTTATTCCACTGGCACCAGCAATGGGGCACTATTTGGGGCATTATTTCTTCCATTAACACCAACAATGGGGCATTTGTTCTTCAACTGACACCAACAATGGGGTACTATTCCTCCCATTGACACCAACAATGGGGGCTATTCCTCCCACTGACAAACAATGGGGCACAATTCCTCCCATTGACACTAACAATGGGACACTATTCCTCCCACTAACACCAACAATGGGGCACTATTCCTCCTAGTGACACCAACAACAGGGTGCTAGTCCTCTCTCTAATACCAAAATGGGTTGTTTTCTCCCACCAGCGCCAAGACAATTTCTATTCCCAATGGCCACAGTCCGCCCCCCCTAAAGTCTAAAGGACAGTAAACTGGCCTTTTGTTTAGAAAGTTTGGAGTCCCCCCCACTAGATGAGAACATAGCACATTGGGTACGTTCGCTGTTTATATCGTACAAATGAGCACAAGTTCCATCAGTGGTACAACACAGAAGACGGACCAATTAAAATAGATGCAATTGGTGAGGATGTTTGTCGCCATTAGGTGGGAAAGGAGGGAAATGTGCTGGAGCCCAAAGAAAAGCTCAGGGTTAAGGGAGAGAAAGAGCAGGATGGAGGGCAACCGCCTGAAGTCCTCAGCTAGCAGTAAAGAATGGGGGAAAGGATAAGAGGAGGGCTTTTGCCTGGGGAAAGGGAGGGGATATGGAGAGGTTCCCGTGCAGTCCAACCCATTACATAGCGCAGAGATGTGCAGTTCAAATAGTTAAATGGAAAGTGAAGAGCGGTCCAGGTTTAGATGATCATTGTAGGTTATCCATGCATATGGCTTCTTCAGGGGCGTACTGACCATTTGGAAACTCGGGCACTGCCCGGGGTCAGTAGGGGGCCCCATGAGATGCCCCTGGTACCTTTTTCATAGGCTTTTTTGAGTTTGGGTAAGGACACAGGGGCCCCATGATCCCCTATTGCCCGGGGGCCCCATGAGTTGTCAGTCCGCCCCTGGGCTTTTTAGAGTTTGTTCTGATCTTGCCATGGGAACAGTAGTATAGTGATCTATTACTTCTAGGGAAGGTAGGACAGTGCTGGCTTGAATCTGTCATGCTACAAGGTACAGAAACTTTGTGGTTACATTTGACTGTGATGCACTCTTGAAGTACACTTGTCATAAGAGAATTTTGTAGGCTGCCATTGCTCACCTCTCTTTTTGAAAATGCTGGTCATCTGACTGCCATGGCTTCAACAATTTCTGATTCACTGGGTCTAAACGAGTATTGCCATAAGTCCTCATGCACACTGGATGTTTTCACAGCTGCTGTTTTTGGCTTTTGACATTTTTTTCTACAGCCAGTAAACCCCCCAGCATGTGTGGTGGTTTATGTAATAATTTATTCTAAATAATTAGGGCGGTGTCCTCTCCCTTAAACAAAATATTGCAGTGCCTCCAGCCTTTAAAATACGGCAAATATTTCAGAAACCAATAATTTGGACACCTTAATAATTTGATCACCACTTAATAATATACCTTGAGTTCTTTAACCAATATGATTTCGTACCATATACAGTGGGGCAAAAAAGTATTTAGTCAGCCATCAATTGTGCAAGTTCTCCCACTTAAAAAGATGAGAGAGGCCTATAATTGGCATCATAGGTAGACCTCAACTATGAGAGACAAAATGAGAAAAAAAATCCAGACAATCACATTGGCTGATTGGAAAGAATTTATTTGCAAATTATGGTGGAAAATAAGTATTTGGTCACCTACAAACAAGCAAGATTTCTGGCTCTCACAGACCTGTACCTTCTTCTTTAAGAGGCTCCTCTGTCCTGCACTCATTCCTGTATCAATGGCACCTGTTTGAGGTTGTGGACAGGTGTCTTTTATACTGATAACAAGTTCAAACAGTCACACTCCAAACTCCACTATGGTGAAGACCAAAGAGCTGTCGAAGGACACCAGAAACAAAATTGTAGACCTGCACCAGGCTGAGAAGACTGAATCTGCAATAGGCAAGCAGCTTGGTGTGAACAAATCAACTGTGGGAGCAATAATTAGAAAATGGAAGACATACAAGACCACTGATAATCTCCCTCGATCTGGGGCTCCACGCAAGATCTCACCCCGTGGGGTCAAAATGATCACAAAAACGGTGAGCAAAAATCCCAGGACCATACGGGGGACCTAGTGAATGACCTGCAGAGAGCTGGGAAAAATGTAACAAAGGCTACCATCAGTAACACACTACGCCGCCAGGGACTCAGATCCTGCAGTGCCAGACGTGTCCCCCTGCTTAAGCCAGTACATGTCCGGGCCCGTCTGAAGTTTGCTAGAGAGCATTTGGATGATCCAGAAGAGGATTGGGAGAATGTCATATGGTCAGATGAAACCAAAATAGAACTGTTTGGTAGAAACACAACTCGTTGTGTTTGGAGGAGAGAGAATGCTGAGTTGCATCCAAAGAACACCATACCTACTGTGAAGCATGGGGGTGGCAACATCATGCTTTGGGGCTGTTTTCTCCGCAAAGGGACCAGGACGACTGATCCATGTACAGGACAGAATGAATGGGGCCATGTATTGTGAGATTTTGAGTGCAAACCTCCTTCCATCAGCAAGGGCATTGAAGATGAAACGTGGCTGGGTCTTCCAACATGACAATGATCCCAAAAATACCACCCAGGCAATGAAGGAGTGGCTTCGTAAGAAGCATTTCAAGGTCCTGGAGTGGCCTAGCCAGTCTCCAGATCTCAACCCCATAGAAAACCTTTGGAGGGAGTTGAAAGTCCATGTTGCCCAGCGACAGCCCCAAAACATCACTGCTGTAGAGGAGATCTGCATGGAGGAATGGGCCAACATACCAGCAACAGTGTGTGCCAACCTTGTGAAGACTTACAGGAAACGTTTGACCTCTGTCATTGCCAACAAAGGATATATAACAAAGTATTGAGATGAACTTTTGATATTGACCAAATACTTATTTTCCACCATAATTTGCAAATAAATTCTTTCCAAATCAGCCAATGTGATTGTCTGGATTTTTTTTCTCATTTTGTCTCTCATAGTTGAGGCCTACCTATGATGCCAGTAATTACAGGCCTCTCTCATCTTTTTAAGTGGGAGAACTTGTACAATTGGTGGCTGACAAAAAATACTTTTTTGCCCCACTGTACACAAAATTTGCCTTCTTGATAAATAAATAAATTTATTTATGTACAAATATTTATATATATATTAATACAAACGCAAAATACTGGTGATGAATATATTCGTACACACAATCAAAGTTATAGTGTGCTATTCTTTACGGGATACTACAATATATGATTATCAAATAAGGGAAAACAAAATTCTAAAGGGTTAGTTGCAACCTATAGTGCTTCAGATATTATTTCTGATTTCCCGCGGATGTAGGGAAATAAGAAAGTATCTCTGATAATATGCACCACCAAAAACACTACAAATCAATTAGTATGCAGTATATGATCTCAATACCAATACTCAAAAAGTTATAGTTATAATTATACAGATAACCTTAATACATTCCTAACCACACAATACAAATGTTGTAAATCTTAATAAGTTTCAAATATAAAAGAAAATTACAATATTTTGGCCCAGTCTCGCCACTCCCAGAATCTCGATTTTGAGGCCTCCCAGTGGGATGCAGTTTGGAAAAGAAATGTTTCTGGGCAGTTAGGCACCAGAATTTTAAATGAGCATCAGCGTCTTTTCCTTCAAATGGCCTTCAAAAACAAAATGGCAGCTGGAAGTTCTCAGCAAAATGGCCTCAGGTAGCAAGTGAGAATAGTGCAGTATATAGGAGTAGTAGTGTAGTGAGTAGTTTCAGTAGTAGTTCAGAAGTGATAAAGAAGTAGTAGCAATCTTAGAAGTTTTAGCAGATCAGAAGTCCAGAAATTTTTAGAAGTTTAAGAAGTTTAGCAGATTTTAAGTTGTCTTCAATTTGAGGTGTTTGGCATTTTATATCATATCAGTCCTTTGTTCCGAAGGACCTCCCAACAGGCTTGTTGATTGGATGGTTGAGAAGTTTGCATACCTATAGATGTTCTTTACCTGTCCACCGGGGACAGTCAGGTATCACAAATCAATTGGTGGTCTTAATGATGACTCACCCTTTGATATAAACAGTATGTCTTTATGGATAAAATATATGGGTCCTATTCAGGTATGGATGATTTCCCTACTAACTCCTAAATAAGGACCATAGAAAGATGTGAATATATTTGGTTTCTCATTTTTCTGATATATGAACTGTATTGGAATGACTGATTTCCTTTGGAAATATAGAAATTACCCAACTCACAAACCATCTTATATTTTATCACTTCAAACTTCAGTTGAGTGGGATGCAGTATCCAACTTTATCGAATAGATTTTCCCTTGATGGAAAAGTGTTGGTAATATATTTTCTGATAATATTTCCGTTGATATATACCAAGCTTTTTATTTTAAATGACCCAACTTTCACCTTATGTTTAATGCACGGTTCAAGGATATGTGACAGAAGAAGCTTCTAGTTACTAGCCCTATTGTGTGATAATTGGAGTACAAATCCAGTTGGAGTTTAGTGAGATGTTCTACTCACTACTTTTCTTTTCCAGGTAACAGAAGTGGATGATGGGCTGCTAAAATTTCACAATCTTGAAGAACTTGTCTTAAGTGCCAATAAAGTAAAAACAGTCTGTTCCTGCAATCTTCCACGAACTCTAAAGGTGAACATGTACATGAAAACTTTTTTTGCAGATTTTAATGCCACTAAATAATATTTCAGTCAAACAGAGCTTTACCCTTGTCCCTTATGACATGTTTCAGGTGTTGGAGATGTGTTCGAACCACATTTCAAGCCTAAAAGATCTTACCGTAAATCCTCCTCCAGGGTTACAGCATTTGGGCCTTGCCTATAACAAGATTCAGGTTTCTTCAGAAAGTTTATATCTGACAGCTGACTTCTGGTAAGAATATTAGCTTTTGAAATCTGAAATTTACCATATCAAAGTTCAGTTTGTATTATTGTACTGGTGACTTTTTTTTTGTAGCCAGCCTCCAAAAACATTACAGCTCCTTCACACCAACAGTTTTTGGACTGGAGATAAAAAGAAAGTGTGAGGCTTTTTGTCTTGTGTCCTATGGCTTCCTATTACATTTGCATTGCATTTTTATATAGCGCATTCACATGTGCTGCAGATCAGAATAATTACAACCAATTAGGTTTAGAAAAGTACCTGTTCTATCCCTGTGAACAAGCCCGTTGCGGGTGTATGGTTTGTTGGGTGGAGATCTTATGTATGTGGCAGCCATCTCTCTTTTTTTCACAGAACAAAGTAATAATGTGATTTTACCATGCAGTATGACTCACATCTACTGCATACTTTTTAAGCAGTTACATCAAAGTTTTTTTTTCCTTTGGGCAAAGATTTACAGTACAGGAAAACAAAATCCCAACTGAGTCGATCTATGTACATTGCAGGGATTTTAACCCCTTTGCGCCGGCGCCTCCCGGCCCTTTAAGAGTTTCAGAAGCCGAGAGGCAGGGCGGGGTTTTAGGGTCATGTGACCGCAGTTATTCGCGGTCACATGATCGGAAAACGTCCCGACTGCAAGGGGAGATCGGGACATTTCCTTGAGACACGGACATATGTGCTGGGAACGCGCAGGGCGGGCGCTCTCAGCACATATGTATTTTTAAAGGGTACGCAAATATGCGGCCACTCGGTGTCAAGGCCCAGACGCCGAGAGGCCGAATATTTGCATGCACTCGGTGTCTAGGGTTAACAAAGGGTCTGCATTCCTTTATATGTGATTCCCTTTGGGAGTATCTCACCAAAAATAAAATTTTTGTCGCAAGGGATGCCCAAAATCTGACTTGTAGTGCAGACTTCTGGGAAAATCAGTAAACCAATCACAGATGCAGGAAATTACATTTCTGGGAGTCATTTTGTATACCATCTGTGTACAGAATGCCTCCAGGGTGCCAGATTAAAAAGGAAAGGTAATTTTTAAAAGCATTCAATTACAATATGACTTCACAATTGTATATGCTACATTATTTTTTTGATGTGCTATTTTTTTCCCATGAAAGTGGAG